TCTTAGATGCACCTCCAAATGCAGTCTGCTGCTGCTCCAGGGATGAGATTTGTTCCCAAGGGATTTCTTTCTGTCCCATTTTTTTTTTTTTTTCCATTGCTTGATGATCTTGGGTCGTGTCATGCATGTTGTGAGCTGAATGTCAGCTGGGTTATCCTTAACCGCAGAGTCCCCGTTTCTCCTATTTACTGTCCCAGGATATATCTCTGACTTTGATTTTATCAGGCATTAAAGCATTTTCTAGTCTCGCAATGACAGACTGCTCGGCATAACAGCACAACTAATGTCTTTTATGTTTGTTTTTTTAAACTCTAAATGTGAAAAGGGCTCCATAGTCCATTAGACTGATAAAAGAACAAACCTACTGAGACTCTCTGCCCTGCTCTCCAGATGACCCTGTATATCTAAAATGCCCTGCTTTTTGTTTAGTTTTTTTTTTTTACTTTCTCCTGATGACTCCATTAAAAAAACAAACAAAAAAAAAACATGTTTATCAGCAAATCACTCATTAGGTTGATTTATTAACCTGCCCTTTATCTACTGGGGGCATTATGCATACTTGGTGTTTGGGCGCACTGAAAAATTACCATATGTCTGGAGCTGCCCATACTCAGTCTGATTATTCTGAAGATTAGATTAAATCAGAGAGACATTTGTATAATATTCTCAAGCATTTATTTATTTATTTGCCTGGCTTATCCTTGTCGGGAATTTTCTGTGCCTGATAAAAACTCAGAAAGTGAATCAACTCAATGCCGTGCTCAGTAAAATTACGCTTTCATTAAATTTCATTCAAATTATGTTTATCAAGGACTTTGCTGCTCTTAATTTCAGAAAGTCACTCACCTGAAATAACATGGATTTATTGTTTATCTTGAAAGTCTTGTTACTGCTAATGTTTTCATGCTAAGCTAACATAGCATGAAATGTTAGCTTAGCATGTTCGTTCTCTGACTTCTCATGACTTTTCAGTATGTTCCAGTTATATGCAGAGAAAACCTGCCTTATAAACTTAGAACCTTAAAGAAACATCATGAAATGTAATGAAAAGTGTTTGAGCCCCTCTCTTTGTGGCCGGCAGTCAGTACAGACTTTTTATTTGTATATTTTTTTAAAGAATTAAAACAACATTCTTACGCTGAAGAAAAGGCTGATAATCTGACAACACAGCTTTTTGCGAGTGCAAATGTACCGGTCATTATTCGAACTTGCAAGTCTTACCTATAGGTATGTATATGACATACTTAAAATAGTGAAATACACTGCAAATTCTGATTAAGCATTTATGGACATAACACACACACAGTAATCGTCTGGTACACCTGCTGCAGTGAAATGAGATTTAGTTGCAATTTATTGCTGTCTGTTTGCAGTTTGGTTTCAGATAACCTTGGCTCAACTTGTATTGTTCTTGTAACTGTTATGGACTGGATGAATGTCACACAAACTAGGTAATTTATGGCCTCTACTGTTCTGCGATTTGTCAGTGAGAAACCGAAAGTAAATGGAAACATCAGCAAAATCTTTTCAGTGCTTGGCAGGAGAAAAGAAAAAAAAAATAATTCCATTTCATTTGCAAATAAGAATAATAGAAAAAAAACAAGGCTAGTGGTCATGAGGGAAGATGTATGTATTTGTGTGTGGGAGCATAAAAACACATTTTTCACGCGGCTCTTCGGATGCCAAATTATGTTGATTGTTCAAAGAAGGTTCAAAGATGTAACGTGTTTCACACTGCGTTTATGACCAACTGTGGTACATTTAGAGAGACAGTTTATGTTTTGGTGCAGGGTAGAAGGCTGGTTGGGGGCTATGGACCCCTTTGATCTATAATTTTTTTATTATATGCGCCTTATAAGTATTTCCGTAGGGTTTTCAGCTGCTGTTGTCTCAGCAGCAACACCCTCTTAAAGTTCTAAGTCGTTCCTGGCTAAATAAAACATAAATATACACCATTCAACATGAAAAGATTGTCATTTTGTCGTCTTCAAGCTGAGCATGCGATCAGATCATGTTCAAGATTTTCAAATCATCCTTTTATGCAACAGCTGCGCAGAAAGGCACCTAAATTGGCCCCCATTTAAACCCTGACACAAAACAAGGCTCCATGTGTTAAGTACTGTGGCGTAACTGATTTTCTAAGCCAGTGCAAAGGCTGTCTAATGAGATCTAATTACATAATGATCCTAATTGATGTGTCTGTCAAGGCTAAGCAATCGAGGCTGGAGACACGTCTCCTGCTTTGAAAGGAGACACGCAAGCAGAACGTCGATACATGCTTAACAAATAACAACTGGAGAAATAGTGTGAGAAAGGCACATTCAAAAGCGTCTCGCCCATGAATCCCGCCTTGTTGCCGAGCAGAACAGTTTCGGTTCTGTAATATATGCACGCATGTGCCTGTAGCTTTCTTTGCACCTGCATCGGGGCATGTACACAAACGTGCCTTGTTTGAAGCTGTGTGTGGGTTTAACTCACACTATTCCAGTGTGATATTCTCTCGGCGTAGTTCGCTGTGCTTCGGCTTTGTGTTGCATAGATATTGAGGCCAAGGAATGGCCACAGGGGTTTACATCTAATGCAGTTTTAACACCTGAGTATAGCTGCGCCAATGGGGCATATGACTTTGAATAGCGCAGGTTTTTGTTTGTGTGTGTTTTTGAAGGGGGGTATCTTTGCATGAGTCAGAGAAAAAGAAGGATGACGAAAGTTTTTTTTTTTTTTTTTGAAGGGGGTTGTTTGTACTGAGTCTGTGAGTGAGATGAATGGCAAAAAAATATTTCTCTACTCTGATATATACAGAGTTTTAGAGAGAACCTGGCTATCCATAGACTCCAACAGGAATGAAATGTAAAAAATAAAAAAAACCCTTACCTTTAATGACCAGCTCAGAGAAAAGCTGGTCATTAAAGAGGTTACCGTGCTCTTTGCTAGTCTTAGCACACACATTCATCAACAACCTTCCCACAGGGCTTTTAGTGCTTCACTATAGTCACCAGATTGTGTTATGGGATAAGGTTCCACGTGTCGTTGCCACACACTGCAGCCATCGCGTCTGTGTGCCTGTGAAAGTCCTGAAAGAATTATGCTGCTTGTCCTAACACATTGGTATAGTCAGGTGCACAGGATGACAACTTTTCCAGCGGGACTGAGGTAAATTTAGAATCCCAGCTTTGAATACATTTTCCTCTGTTTTTGAAAAGAAAGGGGGGGAAAATAAAACTCTCAGCTGCAACATTCTGCAGTAAATATGCCGCTCCACTAGGAGGCAATAATGTCATAAATGCCATCAAAACATACAAAAGAAGAAGACCCTGAGCAAGGCTAAGCTAAGCTAAGCAAAGCAAAGCTAATCTGCTAAAGAGGTTGTAGGACACATTTCCTCTCACACTGTTTCTCCTTTAAGCTATTTGGGCTTAAAGTTTAAGCTTGATGGAGTCAAAAGCAGACATATGTGGAAATATCCCTCATTAAACTGAGGATGTGCAAACATGACAGGAGATTTATGTTTTTCAATATACCGCTGTTAGTGTAGAGGGGGCTTTAAAATTAACGGCTGACTTCAAACGCTTGGCTTTAACACACCTGATTCAAATCACCTAATTATGCCTTCAAGGTCAGTGGGAAACCTGTTAATCACCTATCGGTTTAAATTAGGTGTGTATAACTCATGTAAAACAGTTTTGTCCACATAACTGGAATTATGGCAGCATTTGCCTACGTCTATTGTACAGGCCACCCCCCTACCTTCACCCCCACTCCCACTAACAGCATATAGTTCATTACTGAATGACTTTTTATTATAATGGCTGAATATAAATCAGGCGTAATTCTGAAAGTTACTTAAGACATTCGCTATAATACTTTCTGCCTTAATGATTGCCACAAGAAAAGAAGAAAAATATAGTTGTTCTGTGTTACCATCTCCAACAACTACCTAATGCTATGGAATGGGAGCAAGTACAATTTTATTTCCTAGAGGGGTTTATTTTATGAACCCCTCTACAATAGTGCCACAGCTAACATTTCTAGCATCTCTGCATGTTAAAAAGATATGATGCTCTTAGCTGATACTAGAAGATCAATTCCAGTATCTTTCAGTCATAATTCTTTTTTTTTTAATCTTTGAGATTAATCTCAGTGTATATTAATCTTAATGTATATTGGTTTATAGATTAAGCCAATCTATATTAAGCCAATTTAAAAACTGTCTTTAGTACAGTACGTGTGTTTAGGTTGATTGTGTTACACTTTGCATAAAATTAAACTGAATAATTTTAAACAGCAGTATCAGTCTGCACTCTAAAAGATTCTGTGTAATTTTGAATTAATTTGTTCATGTTCAAGAAGGGCTTGTTTTTGTCATATTGAAAATAATTTATATTGTGCCATATTTCAAAACCCATTTGGGATATTTAGTAACTTAATGTCATTGCATTTCTGTCCCTTTGCTCTTTCTTATCCTCCCTCTCTTCAAAGAGCTGAAGACAACTGTTTGGAACAGTTTCATTTAATTTTGGCAACAGATGAATAGGTTAGGCTAAATTCAGTCTGTATTTGCTTTTTTTTCTTAACTGCTTTTTGTTTACTGTGGAACAGAGCTAGGAATCTTGCTCGGGAAGCATTGACATTGAAAACTGCCGGGGAGACTGCATAATTTACAAAACAACCAGATGAAAGCTATTTTGCTACTTTTTTTGTTTAAAGAAAGCAGTGATTTTGGCTTATAACAATGCTCTTATTGAACAGCTCCTCTATCTTAAGAGGAAAATAAATGCTTGTCGCAAGCATTGCCGAAAGTGAAAATGCAACAAGATACCATTTCATTGGACTCAGCTGTTCAAATCTAGCTGTTTGTGTGCTGCATAATAAAATAAGCAGCAAATGTTATCCATCTTGAAGGTAATGAAACTGTTGTCCCATCTGCTGCGAAGGGAACTTGGTGTTATTTCATCATTAGTAAGTGTGTTCTCTCCCGTCCCACTTTCATTGTGCTGCAGCTGCTGTCGGACAGCCAGATCAACATGGTGAAGGTGGTGAACTCCGTCAGCGATGCGCTCAATGCCATGCAGAAGGAAAACGTGGGACTGAAGGCTCGGGTCAAGGCGGATCTACAAAGAGCGCCGGTTCGAGGCGCTCGACTCAAGGGCTGTTCCAATGGTAAGAAAAACCAGTCGGTGTTTACCTTAATGCATATCTTTCTTGCAGGATCGGAGTTCATGCTGTGCAGATTTGTATGCTGTTCCATTGTCCTTCCGTATTTCCGTAAATTATGCATCACAGGCAACCTAGAAATTGACATTTCACCTTCGTTTCCTCCTCCTTGTCACGATTTTCCCTTGACCCATTATTCTTTGGAGTTCTTTTCCAGTGCGATCTGTTTGTTATCCATCATGCGGCATATTCATTCAGTGGAGCCTCTCCGGGCAAGGTGTGGGCTCCTTTCTGTGGGCCATATCTCTTGCACATTATTCAGTGGCGGTAAGACTGTGGAATTTTTCACTTTACATGAGAGATGACTTATGTGTCCGCAGAGAACGCCCCGAGGCACCGTCCCATCGGAAGCCTTTTAACCAGGCATACCTGGTGGCATCCCCCTGCTGAATTTGTCTGTCACTGATAGCCAAGTAGCACAGCTGAGCTCCTGCAGAGAGTACAACATACAATCACAGGCGACACCTTTCAACTGGTTTTCTTATCAGAGGGAGGATTTAAGGATGAAGTAGACATTTAATAAACATGGAACGCAAAGGCTTGCTTTCTGTGTGCTATAATACTTCTCAGTCTGTTATCTGATGTTTCCCTAAGCACCTTACATGTTACTGTAATTAAATAAAGAGATCAGCGTATCAGTGCTACTTGTTGCTCAAAGAATAGAATTTAAAATGTTATTGATTTATTAAGCACTTTGTAATAAAAGCCCTGTGTACATTTCTGATTTTCTCCAAAGCTATAAACCACTAAGACCTTTAAGATCATCTGAGTCAAACCTGCTCATCGTTCCAAAAGTTTGAGCGAAACATGCCAAAGCACCTTTAAGATTCTGTGCACCGATATTCGGGATTAAGCTGCCTGTTCACTGTAAAACAAGATTAAAAACCTTTTAATTTGCTTGCAATTAGCTTTTTTTTTGTTTGGCTATAGATAAAGTTGCCTTCCCTGGCTTTACTTTGTGGATGTGAACACGCCCTCCTTGGGCCTTGTAGCAACACAAGCACCCATATTCACAGCATTTTTGGTTCAGTTGAAATGCAGATTTCTATTGAAATGGACAGAATTGAATGGAAAGAAAAGTAACTTCTTCCCAGAACATCATTTGTTTTTCTGCTTACGATCATTCTTCTTTTTCTTCTTCTTCTTCTTCTCCTTTTTCTTCTTTTTCTTCTTCTTTTTCTGGTTGTTACCTGACTTTTCTTCACATGCTGCTTTCGGTGCCACCCTGTTACTCAGAGCTGCATTTATTCACAGTATGCACAATTAGCAGAAATCCAAGGTCACAAAAACCTGAACTGGCGCAGAAGACTAAACGTGTACTGTCAGAAAAAAAATTAAAAATAAAGTTTCCCTCGTATTTTATACAGTTATGAAATCCTAGTAACATGCTTA